TAAAGATTGCCCAGCAGCGGCCTTTTTTTTTTTAAATCGCCCAGCAACAACGGATTAACACTTATTTTGATGTCGTAAATCATGAAATAATTAATAAAAGAACAGAGCATGCAAGCAATTGATGTAATTCATGACATCGAATTTATTATGAATTAAGAAATAAATGGATCTCGAAAATACCTTGCAGGAAAAACACGATTTTTTCCTAGGGCAACACCAACAACGAACTAGAGTGTGCTGATAACATGTTGTAAATTGGAACTCTTAATCTTCAACAAGCATCCATCAATCCAAGCATAAGATGTGCAGTAAAGAGAACGATAAAAGAGAAGCAGAAAAAGTATATCTTATTCATCGGTGTAATCACCCTTTTATAGAGTTTACAATAGAGAAAACCCTAAAACCTAATCCTACTCACTAATGGACTTCAGGCCCAATTATTTATTAGTAATGTCCATATTAATATATTTATAACAAGGCTGAGGAAGTTAGGGAATCGGAGATACTCGTATATGATGCACCAAAAACAATATAATAAATATTATAAAGGGTTTAAATATTTCAACTATTTATTTACCTATCTTTTAGCAAAACGACAAATCTTGGTAAAACATGACAACTTAGTTGAAAACTTTTATATATAAATAATTTCAAATATACATACTTAACTTTAACTAAGAGACGGTACCTAAAATTTTACCAAAATCATGCACAAGTGAAATATATACATAATCTATAAATTAGAAAAATAGAAGAATTCAATTAATTACTTCATTATTTAAGAAAAATAAACTCTTGAATTTGGAATTAGAATTAGAAATTGCACCTTAATTTTATTAGATTGAATTTTGATCCTACAAAATCAACATTGTTTGTTAGTTTTTATTTTCAAAATTTGGTCACAAAGCCAATAAAGTTAAGGAATCTTCATCTGACCATTAGGTGATTAATATCAAGTTGTGTAATATTTTAATTATTAACACTTAAAATAATTGAAATTTTTCAGTCAATTATTAACAAAAATATATCATGACATTTTAGTTAATTTACTTCATTGAGAAATTGATTTTCAAGATGGGCGCTTTATAAAAGATGATAGTTAAAATTTATATATATTAAATATTTTATTTATTGATATTATTTTATGATCCTTAAATGCTTTTATGAGTTTCTCATTAAATTTTGAGAGTTTATTTAACCGTAAGTATCCTATCAAATAAGACAACTGTTTCAACAATATTATTTAATTTTACAAGTTTATTAATAATTATAAGTAAAAATTTAAAATCGATATTGCTTTGTCCTCATAATAACAACAAACTATAGACATATTTTATATTTAAATTAATTAAATTTTAAGAATAAATTATATCATGTATCACCATTAGTCGTGTATTATTAATATCTATAAGCAAGAAAATTAAAATCAATAACCTTTGCCCTCATAACGTTCATAAAGTATCAAAACAATTTTTTTTTTTTTAAATAAGCCATAAAAGAATAAATTGCGTAATAGTATGAGAGATTTGTTGAATGCTTGTTTTGAGCCTAAACTTCTAATCTACTCAATTTGTTTGCTTAAAATAAAATTAGAGTCATTTAATGAAATTGTATAATACTAAAACCCAATCTTTTTATTTTAAGGTTGAATGGGATTCAACTTGAGTAGCATGATTTAGTTTATCATATGATTATATATAAATTAATTTAAAATATCTAGAAAATCATGATATGCCTATATACGTTGAAAATTAATTATTTTTAAAAATATATTGTATAGATATGCTACTATTATTCATCTATATATTAATCAGTGTTATTCTAATAAAGGAATTTTATATCAAAAAAATGTACAGAATAAAAAAGCTTTTTATATTTGAGTATAATATTAATGAGAAAGTTGTAATTATATAATATAATACAAAGATGTAAAATTAATTGATATATATAATAAGACACATGAACCCAAAAATTCTATACTTAATTTTATTTATTTCTTAACAAATCTAAAAGCTATTTCTTAGTATATATATATATATATATATATGT